GTTACATCACAATTGGGTTGGTTTAAGGACAGAAATCTAGGAATTTTTAATAAATAGTAATGATTGAATGTTGCAAGTAAAATAATTTCTCCATTAAAATGAGTAGCAAAATTCCCATTAACTTTTATAGGTTTAAAATATTACTCTGTGTGTCCATAATACCTTTAAAATTAGTTATTTGGTTTACTTTTTATACTGTTTTTGATATTATGGCTTTGTGGTGTAAACTTTTCCTTTGCTTGTTTTATTTCTTGCTGTGGTTTTTGACTCATCACAGTTGGAAAAGAAGAGCCCAGAGAGTAACCACTGCTTAACCTTTTGAGATGTTCTGAAATTTTCTTTCTCAGTAGGAATTCAGACTGTGGGCATTTAATCACTGTTTTTTACCCGAGCCCAAACTGCCAAGAGAGACTTTTCTTCAAATAAGCTGTTCATCTGCCTCAGCTTTCATAACCAACCAATTAGTAGGTTCTTTTGAGTGCAGAGGGTGGCTTGAAGACTCGAGTAGCACTGTGCTATGCTGATTCAAAGTGGCTGATCCCTTGATTTGCAAACAGGAATCATAGCATCTGTCCAGGGAGGTTTGATCTATGAAAACATGCAGTCTCTAGAAGTGGGGCTGTGCTACGTGTTTTATATCCCCAGTCCTGGGCAGGAGTTGATTGGGTGTTAGGGCATGCATTGGTGAAGGAATAGAGGACATGAATTTCTATTACCTTTGCAAATATGCACTCTTCCTAGAAGAGATGAATAAAGCTAGATGTTGCGCTTCAAGTTTAGTAGTCAAAACCAAGAGAAGAGCTTCAATAAGCGTTATAGAAATAACCAATTTTCCTGACATACCTTATACAAGGTATTGGTAAGCAAACATCCAGTCTCTCATTACAGTCTTCATTTCTTGGACATGGATTTCAGTAGGTCCAAGATTCAAGTGCCTTTGCAGCATGGAAGACTAGAGGACTGAGTTGTTGTAGTATTAATGCAATGATTTACATGAAGAATGAAAGCTGTGATTCACAACAAGTTCAGAACTGGTTTTGTTTGTTTGCTGTTCATTTTATGAAATCAGGATATGCCTGTGGTTTCCGTTGGTTTGCTGTTGTGGTACTCATGCTTAATGTATTCATCAAACCTTGAGATGGAGTGCAAACTCTTGAAACCAAAGGAAACAAACAACAGTTTGTAAGGCAATGGTATGTGTTGCCAGAGGAAGCTGGAAAGATTTTATGCTTTTTGTTGTAACAGAGCAAGTGTGCCCTGAGATCTTTAGATGCAAAAGGTTATGCAAAACTGTGCTAACTTCAATGGCTGTGTGATTGGCAAAGCATCCCAATGCCAGCATGAAAACAAAAGATAGCAGGACTAGGAGCTGCATCTCCCTTCCTTTCCTTCCTTTCCTTCCTTTCCCTCCTTTCCTTCCTTTCCTTCCTTCCTTCCCTTCCTTCCTTCCTTCCCTTTCTTTCGTTCTTTCATTCTTTCTTTTGTTCTTTTTTTCTGTTCCAGGAAAATCCAACAGGTGGGACCCCACAGTAGTATATCTGGGCAGACCCAATTGCTGAATCTCACCTTTGATTTGAATGCCTGCTGTCAACTATAGAAATGCTCTAGGATGTTTATGAGGGGCCTGAGCAAGAGATCCTTTAGAAAATAAATGGAGAAGAATGTTGACTGCAACAAGAGTCATTCCACAAAAAACATCTTTCCCAAATTATCTTACTAAAATAGACAAGAACCCCTTGTTCTATTTAAAATGATTTATAACTGTTCCCAGCTGATCACAAAGTGTTTCTAAATTAAAAGCCATTAATTATAGCCTTATATAGATACAAAGATATGCGAGAAGTGCTTTGTAATTCCAGCTCTGCACTTCAGGTGAGAGCTTTTTAAATTACTTGGACCATTGGAGCCACCTGCTTGACTAAATGCTGAGGGCCCTGTGTTTCAGTACTCATCAGTGCATTGCAGTGTTAACATTGTTACTGATTTTTCTCATTTCTCCAGGGCAAATACTAATTAATGGATACAATTCACAGCTGATTAGCTGTAGTTTCTTCAGTAATTACATTCGCAGACTAACTGTTCAGAAGAGGATTTCTAACCCAGTTCTTATTTCACTCTAAGCTTAATTTGTTTTTTGAATTGTTTAGGTCCTTAAGATAATAACCATTTTATTTTCTTTGTTGTTATAGGTACCATTAGGTAATAAGGAAGTTTAATCTTAGAAATACTCACAGATAATTGTATGCCTTCGATGGATTTCTACTTCAGAAACAAAAAAATGAATTTAAATATTAGTCATTATCCATACTAACAAAAGCCTTAAATATGCCAGGTTCTGACATCAGTGCTTGAGTCATGCCCAATAGGGTATTAAATATTGTAGCCCAAGAACAGAATGAATCAAAGGATATGTACTTGTAACTTTTAGCTTTGACATTCCTCCTTACATCATTTGCTTCCATAGTCTTAATAAAGTGGAAAATTATGTTGTCACTTTCCCCTTTGTTTTATTTAAATAAGACAAAAAGTAATAAAACCACTTGGCAATCAGAACGTAGTACAGGTGGTGTGAGGAATATATGTAGAGCAAAATAATGTAGAATTTGACTCTTCAAAGTAAAAATCTGTTGCAGGGCCATTTTGAGGCACTGGAGCCCCTAAAATGCTAAGCTCATTAAAACAGGAGAGAGTTTGTTCCCACTTATTTATCCACCGTTAGAGCTACACATATTGTACCTTTGCACTTAGGGATAATTTGAAAACTTCATTTCTTTTTCTTTGTCACTGTAGGAAGAACAGCTTTGTTGAAGCCCTTTGAGCTTTTCATATAAATCTTAGTTTGCCAGTAACTGACATGAGAAAAATCTAGCCTGTCGATTTCACTGGTGAGCTGAAGTACTAATGTCTTTGTGTGACAAATCCCCCCCTTCCACATCATTATGTGCCAAACAGTAATTTGAATGTGAAATTTTACTTGAATTTTTAAATCTCCAAAAATGGGTGACATCTGGGCTTTTTAAAAATGGATGACATTACTTGAGTATCTGCATAGCTGGGGATAACAGAGTTATAATAGCTATGAGGCAGCCTACATATTGTGTTAAGGCCTTTGTTGCTTAACATGTGTTGTAGGTTGAAAGATTCAGCATGTTAAGCACACAAATGGAATTTCATACTTCAGAATGAGCAGTCTCATGTAGTATTCCTTTTCCTTCATGATTGTATTCTGATTTTGTTGGTGTCCTGTTTTATCAATCAGGCAATTTATCACATACATGAGGCCCCAATTCTTCGTGTCCATCTTCCTTTTTTCATACTCTTATCACTATAGTTGTTTTTTGTTTTGTTTGGATTTTTTTTTTGTTTTTTTTTTTTTTTTTTTTTTTTTGTTTTGTTTTTGGTTGGTTTTGGGTTTTGTGGGTTTGCTTTTTTTTTTTTTTTTCCTTTTAACTTTTGCTCTTATTTTAAGAAATGGATTTTGGAATTTTCAGAGAAGGAACCATTCTTGAAAGGATCATTCTGAACTTCTGCTTTAGGATGCTGGAGGAATCAGAGAGAATCAGGGACTGAAACATTTGCCTGCTAAAAAGAGTCAGGCACAAGCACTGCGGCACTGAATGGAGCTGGAACAAAGTGGTTTTCCTTTCAGGACATGCAACAGAGTTTTCTGCTTGCAAAGAACAACTTGTGCAAGTTCATGGTTACCCATCCTCATGCACTTGTTGCAGAACTTATGCTGGGGGTGGTGGTGGTGGTGTTTGCTGTTGTTGGGTTGGGTTGGGTTGGGCAGGCCCACCAAAATTTGGCAAGATGAAACTAAGCCTGCCTGAAAAATTTGCTTTATAGACATCAAAAGTGGGAGTTAAGGGAAGAATGTTTAGTGTGGCTTTAGCAGCAACAATGTGTCAGGGCATTGTAGGGACAGCACAGGGACTTTTCTGATTTGATAACCTTTACAGTGTGGACTGTGCTTGATAGCAGAAATGCGAAAATGTTAAAGCCTGTGATTTAGCGCTGTAGTGGTAGCTGCATAACGTATGTGTTCCTTGAAGTACAGGCTAGACCCTTGCCTGCTCCGGCAGCACATGCAGGAATAGTTTACCAGACTACTTGCTGTTTGGAAGTGCAGTTTAAGGAAATAAGGCACACTAAGTGCCAGTTAACCAAATGCTGATAATCTCTTTCTCTTCAATGCTCAGTCTGTAAAAGTACTTATCTTCTGCAACAAATGTTCATAGTTGAGAATTTGGAGGAAACTATGGCATCTGAGAGGATCCTTCCAGATCATGTTTGTGAGAGGAGTTACACCTCAGTGGGAGCAAGTAGGCACTCAGCCCATTCCACCCCGGGTAGATCTCAAAGTCTCAATGTGATACAGTTTCTCTGATTTGCGAAATCTTCTGGTATTAATGTTCACTGGGGGCGTGGGATTGCAACTGGAATGAAGGGTAGACAAAGGGGGATTGTTTGGCTTTTAAATTTTGTGCAAAGAACGGGATTTTAAGAACAATGCTGCAGATTCTCATTCTTCCCCTTATTGACCTTCATCTCTTAAAACCAGGTCTACTTGGAATAGTAATATGCCAGCTACGTCTAGCTGCAGCAGTTCTCCGGATCATGATCATCTGCATAAATATTATAATGCATATCACAAAAGATGTTTTGGAGTCAAAATGATGTCTCTGGAGAGTAGTCTCTTTCTAATGGATACTTAACTGGCAGAGTCACCTCTAGGTCTGTGGGGTGGTTTTGCTATATGGACAAAGAAAGTTGAAGAGATACACTTTGATATCTTCCAAATACGGACTTGGGATGCAGTACTTGGGGTAATAATAATGTTGAATCCAGTCTAGTTCTGACTTCAAAGAACGTCTGCAAAATTACATCTCATCTGTTTTGGTTTTGTTGGGATTTTATTCAACTTTCCCTATGCCAGTGATGGGGTAAAGAAAAGTTTATGGTGGCATTCATTAAAATCCAAATACTTATTTTTCTTTCAGTTTGGAAACAATAACAACTACATGAACATGGCAGAAGCGAATAATGCATTTCTTGCTGCAAATGAGGTAGATGTTTATCTTTTTTATCTATGCTTATATTCTGCTGTTTGCTGTGATAATTTAACAGACTTTGAATAGATGAAGAGTGAAGTGCTGAATTTCTGTGTGTTTTATGGAGCACAAAATAAAGACTTTAATGAGAAAGAAAATAACCTGACAGCTCTCCATTACAAGTCAATTTAGCTGTCCATAAGGCTGTTACTTACGTAGAATGTCAATAGAAACAAATCTGCTTTCTGTATGAAAAAAATTAGAAGGAAACAAAAAGCACACTAGGTGTACACTTTGGAAGCAAGCTTAGTAATAGCCATTACTGACTAATGGGCTAATTTCTGTTATAGATTCATTTTAATTTGGGTTCTTAATATACATATAAGTTAGGAAATCAAACCCAACTTTGTAGCCTGAAGTGCATGTGCTGCATGAAAGAACTTCTGTCCAGGGTCAAGAGAAAACCCTGGTGCTAAGCAGGTGGAGCCTGGCTGGGTTATGGTGGTGATGTGTTTGGTTGCTGCCTTTGAGAATGGGAACAGGAGGAAGGATGGCTATTACAGTCCATGTATTTGTTAGAGCAGTGCTACCTTACAGCCAGTGAGTAGACTATCAACATGCTAATACCGACCACAGCTCCAGATCTTTTGCTCATCACTAAGATCCAACAGCTCTTATTTCAAAGGGAAGGATGGAAAGTGCAAGATGAACTGTCTAGTAATGTGCACAGCAATATGGAGAGCAAGAATTAAGTATTTATGTAGGGTGCGTGCTATAAATTATCTTTCCACCATGAAAAAAGTTTAGAAGACTGGTCAGCCTTGATTTTACGTGTTGTAAATGGGTATTCTTGTGCACTTTTTAAAAAGTGATCTTGGGGAAAAATAAGCAGAAAGTTGAAAAAATAAATACGAAGGTTAAAATTAAGAGTTGTATTTTAAGAATCATTTATTCACTGGTCACCATCTCTTTTTACCCAGCAAGACTGCTTAGATAAGGGAATATTGTTTGGCACTAGCTCCACTGTTATTTGTGATAATGAACACAAACCCCATCTGTAATGACAACATGATGTTTCTTTCTGTAGAATTTCTTTCCTACATTTGAATCAAACATTGATGAAAGCTCTGCTGCCAGCAGCTGTTCAGAGACAATTTAATTCCAGCTGTGATAATTCACCGTGTCAGACATTGGCTGTTATGTGTTGATACAACAGTTCTCCAGATTTGCATTTTTATCAAAAGGAACAAATGTTTCGAACATTTCAGTACAGATGGCATTTAACCATGCACACAGTTAAAAAAAACAAAACCAAAAGTATAAGTATTTGAAAAGTTAATAACTTTAAAAAATGTGATTGGTAAGATAAATCCCACAAATGTTATACCATCTTTTGGTCATAACGACACCTTACTGCAATCCCAAATTGCGTACTATTTAGGCCCTTTTTACAGACTGAATGCTGCAGCGATTTGGATTCAAGACTGCTTGACTAAGGGGCTTGCTTTCTTCTCAAATTACATCTATTTTATCCTCGATCTTAGGTCCATTATATGCTTTTAAAAAAAAAACACATATATATTTGGATGAGTTATATAGTGAGAGTTGAATTCATATTTAAAAAATGTTCAGATATTCATCAGTTTACTCTTACATTTGTAGTAAGCTATAGTATTGAGATGAAGGCTACTTTTCAAAGTAAAATACTGCATTATTGTCTAGCTGTGTTATATATTTATACAGCTGCCCTGGAGTTATTCTGTTAGATGGGAAGAAAAAATCCAGTTCTTATAATTACTATCTCATAAAGATGTCAGGTAAAGAGAGGTTCAAATGTACTGTAAAAATACTGATTTCACTGAACTTTTTTGCTTGAACCAAGGAATAAAAATATGAGTGTTAAATCATGACCCTAACTTTGCAATCACTGCATTTACAGTCTATTTAATTATAGTGGTTTTACATTAATGTGAATGTAGCTTTCTCACTATGATTTTGGGCCTGAGCACTGCTGAGCTTGAAGCCTATTTTATTCCTGTAAATAATGCCTTAAGAGTGTAATCCTAGAGCACATTCAGGCTTAGAACCCACACATTTGCTTTATGTTTTCTGTCTCCATGTCATGATTACTCGGACCCATTTTAAAGCACCTTAAATATTTATTGAAATAATATTTCAAGTGTTAATTACACTGGTAATGAAAACAGCCAAATGCCACATATCAAGAATGAGTGTTTATCCGTATTGTTAATGTGATATGTTAGATTTCATTAAGCAGTAATGGGGTAGCAAATGAGTCACAAATTACAGTTGCATCTGTTACTAGACCACATTAGTGCCAAAATAACTGCAAAAGCAGCCATAGGGTTCATTAGCCAACCACTTCTCTTGGCCAATCCATCCTTTGTGTTTGTGAACTGCAGGGTCCACAGGAAGGAAAATTCACACCTTTTGTAATATAGCAGCAGGGGAGTCAAATGTCTCCATAATCCAGGCCCAGCTTTCACATCCAGAATTAAACTGCTGTTTTGCAGTTTGAGTGAGATGGGTAGAGTCTCAGCAGACTCCTACAGTACTGCAGACTGGAGAATCTGGGACCTCATCATTTCTGGTGTGAGACCAATAATGACAGCTGACAGGTTCTATATGCAAGTGAAGGTTTTTCTTGTGTTTCAGTTTCCATCTTCTCTCAAGTGGTTATTAATTTATATCATCATTAACAGTTTGAAGGATGACAATTTGCAGTAGTTAATGAGCTCTTTCACTGAACTTATAATTTTTAAATTAACTGGCATTAAGTCACTCGTTCAAACAATGTAAATAATACACAAAACACCCCCCCCCCGAACTCAAATCCTGAACTAATGCAAACAAACAAATCCTAGAGCAGCTTTGCATGTCCAGAACAAGACAAGAGTGCCCATTTTAGGATTGCCAACTGCCCAGTTTGATCAAGACGGTGCTGATTTGGATACATTTAAAATGGCCTAATTTCAAGCACTGAATTTCTATTATTAAGTAGCAGTGGACCTGAAATAATATATGAAAGTTCATTTAACTCACAAGAAATCTGAATAAGCATAGCTCATTTGTTTCCCAAATAAAAGTCAGCAATATTGAAGCCAGATACAGACTCCACTTGAATAAAGATTATCTTTGACAGACCCATGCACACGTACAAACATGCACAAACCCTGAAGATAACTGCCAGTAAATGTTTTGCTCACGGCATCTTAACAGGTGTTTAGTTCTTGACAAACCTACTGTTCCAGCAAAACTGGCTTGCTTCAGAAAGTACTGGAAGCTGCTGCAATCACCGTCACTCTTTTATACGTGTCTTTCCTCCCCATTACAACCGTTGCTTAAAAGGGTGCATTGTGCTTTTGGGATGGAAAAGAAATAAAGACCAGAATTATAATATGTCATGTTTATTAGTGCATAAAAAGGAAGCAAAAGGTGTGAAATGGTCAGTGCTGAATTAATGTTGTACGTGTGTGTGTGCGCACGCTACAAAATTGTCCGTATTTTATGAAGCATGAGAGTAATGTAAGGTGTTTGTGCTATTTTACTAACATATCAGTAAAGTGGCAATTTGTTATACAGCCAAATCCAATGTAGCTGATATTCTGACTAGCAACAGACAGATGTTGCTAATTAAGTAGGCATTAAAAAACTGTTAATACTGATACTCCATTAAAGCCATATGATAATGAGACTTAAATCTTTACTCAGAATGATCCACAAACCCCCTCAGCATACAAAACTTAAAAATTCTGTTGCAAATAGAGTTTGCATTTGAAATCAGAGCAAGATTTGGACTGCAGGTCTGGAGGAGGTTGCTGAGAGCCATGTGCCCTAACGTGGTTTTCCTTGTCCTGTCCTTTTTTAGCAGACATTCCATACACCGAGCCTTGGGGATGAAGAGTTTGAAATTCCACCCATTACCCCCCCCCCCGAGTCAGACCCCACCCTGGGGATGGCAGATTTACTGATGCCTTTTCAGAGCCTTGGTGACCAGCTGCCTGCACAAGCAAATGAATTTACACCTCAGTTTCCCCCCCAGAGCTTGGATCTTCCCTCTATTACAATATCCCGCAATCTTGTGGAGCAAGATGGCATCATCCACAGCAATGGATTGCCTATGGTAGGTCTGGTTCTTTGTATGTTTCCATTGCCTAATGTCTGTCAAGGCACAGTAATACAGATTTGTGTCATCTATCAGTTTTAATAGACCTCTCAGAAGATCTGATAATTTTCCAGTGTTTTGGTCCAAACAAACATTTGCAAATGTTCTGCATCAAGTGCAGGAGTGTTCTGTATGAACACTGACATGTGTTGTGAATGTTACAGAGCAAACAATGATATGCTATTATTCAGTTCCCTTAGGCAGTTGGCAAATGGTTAAGGGTTTAATACTGGTGGATTCAGGAAGATTACAGTGCAGGGGTATACTGTGTGTGAACAGATCTCTTCTGAAGAAGCAGTCAGGTTTTACAAACATAGTGTTCAAATTTTGGGAATAGACTTGGAAGCCCATATGCACTGGCATCATGTGCATCCCAAGCACTGCTAAAGTTCAAAATTGTGTTATACAGTTGACACTGCCATCAAGATTTGAAAGACCATTTTGTTGGTCAGGGTGAGCTACAGCACTCGGAAGGAATTGCTTGTCTGTATTTCAAATACAGGACCCACATCTGACAGCTATCAGGATATTTTGAAAGTGCAGTATTGAAAGCAGTTTAGAAAGGGAGCCAGACACAGTATGCCAGCAATAAAACCCCTTTTATTTCCCTATTTTTCTGTATGTTCCATGGCCTAAATCTGTTTAACTTGAAATAGATTTTTTTATTTATTTTTTTTTTAACTTGTATAATATGGATGTATTATCTTGACCATACTGAGAAATACAGGGCCATAAGAAGACTATGTTCTGTCTAGTGCTCTTGTTGACCATAGAGGGTGAAGCAGTTTGAGCCTGTTCTCCTGGGCTGTTTCTAGCACCCCAGGAATGGGAAACGATGATCTGGGTGTGGGGAAGGGCTGACTGACGGGTACGCTTAGGCTAATTCCTGTGATGATTCCTGTTAATTACAACAATGAAAACCAAGGCTGCATGGAGTCTTCTCCAGAATCTATACATACTGTATGGCTCTGATCTCGGCGCGAGGGCATACAGGCAGTTTCCACTTATATTTCCCTTTTATTGAGGGATCTCCCTGCTTGGATTTCTCTAAGCACTGTGCAGTAGCATTCATAGTCACAGTGATGAGACACAGCTGTGAGTCAGTTCATCATACTTAGCATTTTAAACTCAGTGGTTAGAATTAGAATTAGTTTCTATATTGCATATTGAAGACAGAGCGATTGTTTAGCTTGAACAGATATTTTTCATCAACTTCTGATAAGTTGTTTTATATAGGACCTTTTGCTAAACTTTGTGTAGTGAAAATACAGATTTACTGCTGGACTATAATAAAAATTGTGTTGTCATGTTTATGATTTCATGTACATTGTTTTTTATTATCCTGGCAAGCAAAAATTGATTAAAGATATGCAAATCAACATGCAGCAAATATTTCTGTGGAATTCTGCAGGCTTCTGACTTCATTTCAAATTTTAGTGCTTCCTTGGGGAGGAAACTTCATGAAGAGTAGCTAGCACAGAACTAAGCACAAACTGCTGACTACTTTAGAGGTACAGAATTCAGTAACTCCACAGATACAAAGCAGGAACTGTATAAAACAGGCCTTGCAGGATACAACTTTTTTTTCAGATCCCATTTTGTGTTGCATTTTGTATGCACTGGATATTTTGGGCAACTACTAAAGAAAAATCACATTAATATAACCTGAGATTCATGAATGTTACGTGGAAAACTAAAGTAATGAAGCATGTGTACACTGAATACAATGAAATTTGGTGGACTTGGCAGTCCTGGGGTAAAGGAAAGGTTGGAGTTGATGGTAAAGGTCTTTTCCAACCTAGATGATTCTATGATACTATGAAACTTGCTCAGGAATATGTAATAAATATCATGGGCTGGATTAGTGTTGTGTTATGTGTATGAGTATCCCCTCAATGTTATCAAGTGGTTTGCAACCTGACCCGGTTTTGCCTTTTAATTTTGCATCCTTTCACTGAATTGGATTCTTCCATGAGTGAATACTGTCACCTAAACAGTTCCAGCCAGAATAGGCCTCCTTGTACCTCTTCTTGCACTGGGTGAAAGGCTTTTCATATTTTGCTTCTTTTGTAGATTCTGCAATATAGAAATTCATGGCATAGTGTAGTAGTAAGATTTTGTTCCCATACTGGTCAAAGAGAAGATCTAGAGAAACTCATGCTTTTGCATCCCTTACAGTCCAGTGGCATTTTTCTAGGGTGATTGCCAGTTCAAAGCTGCAGATTGGTATCTTATGTGTAGTTTTGCTGCAGAGAATTGATGAATTGAGTAATTTCACATGGAGGAGCCACATAGTTCTTTTGTCAGACACTTCCCCACAGCTGCTTGATTGGTTTTATACTGTGTGCTGGAGTGGCCCCTGCCATTGTGTTTTAGTCAGTAGTCATCTTCTCTTGCTAGTAAATGCTGGATAGTTACAGGAAGTTTAAAAACATAACGGAAGGTCTTTGCGTAGGTTCCCGCTGAGCTCACATAGTTCTCTTTAGTATTCAAAATTTCCGGCAGTTAATCTGTATTTCAAAAACAGAAAATGAAAACATATCATCTTTTATGTGAAAAATGTGACTTTATTAAACTGGTAAATATTTATTTATTAATACTATTAGACTTAATCTTTAAATTAGACATTTCATGAATTACCTTGCCTTGGAGCTATAAAAACTTTATTGCAGCAATAAAAAAATGTAAAGGAGGCATTTTAACTGTGAAATTTCATTTCATGGTCAATTGAATTTACTATATATGAAAGAACTAAAGATGGGGTTGTAAAATAATTATGATGTTCGTATACACTTACAGAACAATGTTCTCACCCAGCAGTACTAGGATAGTCTTGTTTAAAGGCTGTATTAGTAGTGTATTGCTAATCACTAAAGCTTCTTTAGCTGAATATAACTAAAATTATTTTAATATGAACTGCACTGAGTTTATCTTGTGAAATATTAAAGAGCTTTCCTGTAAACACTATGTAATTTATATAAATGTAGTCCTACCCTGTTGAAAAGTCCAGTAGAAGAATTTCACCTTGAAGAAATGTCATGAGATTTTAAATCACAAATGTTGAAAAACTAAAATGGGCTTGGACAGAATGATGATCAATACTGTGTGTCTTTGGCTTTTTTCTATGTACTACCTGACATGTTCACCTATAAACTTGAATTCAGAATTGCCAGAGGCATGGTTAAAAATAGGTTATGTCAAGGTTTTCCTGTGTCTTCCTCAAGATATGGCATTAGCTAGCCATCTTGTAATATTTCTGCAAGTGTCTCACATATTTCCCACAGGAAAACCAAAAATAAAAGATTCTGGTTTTAACATATTCTTTGTCTATTATTATATTGAAAAAATCATTAGTGGCACCAGAAGGATATTTATTAATGTGGCCTAGCAATTATTAAAAGATTGTATTGATGAGTTAAGAATTGTTCATATTGTTATGATACACATTCTATGGAAAGAGTGACAATTTGTCACAATGCTAATTAATTCTCATTTGCAACAAGCACAACACATTTATCTTAGTTAACAGCATTTTTCTATGTTTAAGAAGGGGTAACTGCAACAAAAAAGGAGATAAAATAGAGTCAGTTTGATTAATTTTAATATTTTAATTACATGCAAATGAAATTCTGATGTTCAGAAATGAGTCACTGAAAAATGGTGTGTTGATGTACATTTGACTTGAAAGAACACTTGAATTTATATGATGCAAATATTATCCCCATAAATACTTGAATATAAATAAGTGGAAATCAGCAGCAATACCCTCATTAAAAATCAGCCCGCAGTATTTTATATTAATGCTCTGTTTTCTGCTGGGCTGCCCATAGAAAAATTATTTTAATCTGCAAACTGTGGCAATTCCATAAAACTACACTTGTGCTCCTGAGGGTTCCTTTTTTGAACACCTCTCTAATCTGCCCAGCCTGCTGAGTAGCATTGACATCAGTAGTACATCAATTTCAGAAAGTGGATTATTTTTACTAGACAGCTATTGTGACATATTGGGTCAGTCATAAATGAAAGATATTCATGCAAGCATGCAATACTTGTAATGAAGTCTCACTCTGACCTTCTGTATGATTGATTCTGTAATTTAGTTTTCTCAGGCAGTGCCTGAAATGAAATGAAATCATGTTGAACAAGTTTTGAATACCCACAGTGCACCAGGAGAAGAAAAATCTGCAGCCCCAGAGGCTTGAGAGAGAGCAGCTGAACTATTTGTCTCCATGCTATTATAGCCTTTGCCAGCATTCAACATTTTTTTTTTCTTTTTCTTTTTTTTTTTTTCTTCTTATTTGGCTTAAGTACTTAATTCTGCAGGTAGCTGTAAATGGGAAAATAAAATGCTGTTCAGATTTAAAATGACAGGACAGGAGTATGTGCAGGGGACTGATAAAATATCTTGAATAGAACTGACCTTTCATGTAGCTGAAAGTTACTGGGGGATTCATCCTCATAATTACCATATAGATTATTTTTATTTCTTTCCTGCAATGAAACATTTCAGAGAGCAGTAGTGCTGATTAAATGAAAATTGAACTTGTTAACATTCTTTTCAGCTTACCCTGTTGTACATAACAGAAGGTTAGCTTTGATGGATTTCAAAGTTCTCTTTCTGATATCTAAGAAACAGACAGTAAAATAATTGTCTCTTTTCAGTCTGTTTTTTTTTTAATTCAAAAAAGTACAGATGTTACAAACCCAGACAGATAATTTTACATATATTGCTCTTTGTATTACTTGTGCTGCTGGAGAAAATGTGTTTTCTATTTGTTAAGGATTTGAGCCTGTTTATATTTAATAATTGTTGCCGTGCCATCAGTGCATTCAGGATTCTGCACAGATAAGGCTAATTCATAGTGGAATATGCTCATCTTTAATGACATTGGTACTTAGAAGTGGCACTGTGCTCAAGCCAAAGACACGATGGTGACTATTGCTTTTATTTCAGGAAC